CCGGCAGGGCAAAGGCGCAGAGGCGGGGCCGGCAGGGCGAGGCGTCTGGGAACACCCACCGGAGCCTGGCGAACCAAACGAGTCCTCCTTCTCCTCCTGCGACGGCGAGTCACTGGTCTAGATACTTTCACTTGGCTAGATTCAGCACTTGACTCACTCGATTCACTTGATTCACTTGACACGGCACTTGATTCACTTGATTCGGCACACGGCTCACTTGACTCGGCACTCGGCTCACTTGACTCGGGACTTGACTCGGGACTTGACTCGGGACTTGACTCGGGACTTGACTCGGGACTTGACTCGGGACTTGACTCGGGACTTGACTCGGGACTTGACTCACTTGACTCGGGACTTGACTCACTTGACTCGGGTTCGTCGAGGCAGAAGCGACGTGCGGGTTCGGCTGAGCGGGCGAGAAGCGCGGGTTTGCGGAGCGTGGTCTCGGCAGGGCTGGGGTGAAGCGCAGGTTCGACATGGTGGGACCCTGGAATGATGGTCTTCCTGGCAGCACGCGCAGACCTCATAGGAGGATCAGCCACGCTGGAGATCGGTCCCGTACGGCCATAGACCGATCCGGTGGCTGGCTTGATTGCTGGCAAGACGTGGAGCGTGGTCTGAGGGGATACTGCAGGTTCAGGGTGCTTCTCCTCCTCGCCCACGGTAAACGAAGAGCTGCTCCACAACAGGGCCAGGTCGATATACCACTCTAAAGACCCGTGCGGATCAGGTTCGGGCATCTGAGACCGGAGTGGTTCCGATAATCCCCCGCGGAAGAAGATTTTCAAGCCCTGGGTGCTCATTTGCACGAGATGCGCCAGTTCAATGAAATCCGCGACGTACCGTTCTATGGAGCGATTCTCTTGACGGAGACGGAGAATCTGGACATCAGGACTCCAGGTTGGCATGGCTGCTGGATCACGATGCGGTGAGTTCTTCTCCTAACTGCTAGATCCTGGGAGGTCAGTTATTCTGTCACGAATTGCGTGGAAGCAAAGGCGGTAGTCGGATCTAAATGCAGCAGTAGACTTTAATAATGCAGACTAAACTCAGAACAGACAAGACACTCGTGGTACGTAAAAACATTCATTCAATAACTGACAAAGACAGGGCAGAAACACAGGGCTTAAATAATCAGAGACAAACGAGCAGACAGGATAACAAGGGGGCGTGGATAACAAGAAACACCTGGGATAACTAATGACAAGACACTAATGACACTAAACATGACAGGACACAAGACCCACATTATGACAGCATTAATGAGAAATTGAACAGGTGTTCCTAATAATCCTTTAGATGAGTGTACATAACAGCAAGCTATAACATGTACTAAAAGCCAAAAAAATCCATTTTTGATTTCATGGGGACTTTAAGTAGCCTATTTTACTCGTCCTGAATAGGCTCAAAGATGCACTAGTCCTGAACACCGAGACATGCCAGTGAAAAACGAAACAGGTAATTTGTGAGGAGAGCAATCACATGTTTATTTTCTAAAATCAAAAAGGTCGTAACAACAGCCTTTTAAAGGTCAACAAACACTCAAGTCTCGGTTAAGTTCGAGAGCTCAAAAAGGGCAAATAACCTACATCCCACAAAGACGTCTCTTCAAGAGTTTTATCAAAATATCGAATAATTAAAATAATGTTAAGTCAAATGAAATAGTCAAAGCCTATTTGCACTGGAAGGGCTGGTTTCCACATCTCAGATATGTGAAACACCTGCGATTCACAATTACCTAATGCAGTTGCATTCGCATAAAGTAGACTTGTGAGTTTGGGCAAAAACCACGCATTCTCATCCCAAGGCGTCACTAAAATGACAATTTTGACCATGCTTCAATATTCGACGCTTTAGGCACCCTTTAGCGTCAGTTACATGACGCGATCCTAGGGCGTCATCTACTGATGCTTTACCTTTAGCGTCAGTTAGATGACGTGGGTAGATTTAGGTCTGGGGTAGGGTTAGGATTAGATAGCGTCATCCAACTGACGTTAAAGGTAAAGCGTCAGTGAGATGACGCCCTAGGATCGCGTCATGTAACTGACGCTAAAGGGTGCCTAAAGCGTCAAATATTGAAGCATGGTCAAAATGATTCCCAAGGCGTCAGTTTCATGACGCCTAGGGATGAGAATGGGCTGGCAAAAACGCACAAAATATAGTACCTGCCTTCAATGCCCTGCAGATGGCTATATCGCTTCTTTCTTAGCAGAAATAAACTGCTGCAGAAAAAGTTAGGTGCCATGCAAAATGAAATGACCAATTGCATTAGCCTATATCACAAATGTATTGGAGTAAAGAGTATATAGTCATTCAAAAATGTGGTCAAGAGAGTAAAAGTGTCTAATATTTGTTATACTCAAACTACAACGTAGCCAAAAAGATACTTATGTAGCCTACAGTAACTAATTACAGTAATTAAATTTTCTCCAATACTTTACAACTCTGCTTCCTTGGATATTTTATTCAAATGTGACTGGTTGCAATAATCTACGATAGTCTATAATTGTAGGTTTTGAAGGAAGCGGTTAACTAACTAAACACAATCCACATTCCACACACAGTACCTGTGCCTGAAATGAAAAGGTCAAATTGCTACTTTACATATACATTACTTTGAGGACAGATTGTTATCCGGCCTTTGTTATATAGGTTCATGAGGTGTGAATTATTAAGCTGCAGTAACCGATGTTCCTTTTGCTTTGAAACGGGGCTGAATTGTTGACAGCACAAAGCTCTTTGAGGTTATTAACAGAGGCACTACATCCATTATAGCACTCATTTATTTTGAATGACTGATGGGAGGCCATTTGTGCTAGACATTCAGTTTAAATAAATGCAATCATAGGACACTCTTGAGATCTTTTAGAGCAAAATGGTCTTAGTCCCTCTATTTCCACCGCCTATAAACGGTGAAAAGTGTAAAAAATGATAATAATTCAGGGCTATTCAGCACTCGTGTAAGAGAAAAAAGCTGTCATATATTTGCAACAACAGATTTGCAAAAATCTTTCTGTGCTTCAAACAAGAAGATTTGAATTGCTTTATCAAGCATGAAACAACACATTATTCAAATGCAATGTTTTTACATTTAAACATAATTTTTCTATTTTGCAAGGCAGAGATATCAAGAGAGACTATTATATTTCTCCTATTGTTGATGTATGTGTATTCTAAGCTTAAAAGACCCAATATTATCCTGGCAACACCATCGTTTTACTGTTTAATTGAAAATGAAATGCTATGTTTTGTCTCGAAAACAATCAAATGAGTTGAATGCAGAGCATTACAAGGCTTATTCGGGTATTTAAAAGAGCATCAGCACCTAAAGTGTTGCTTATGTCACATTTACAACAATCAGCACGCATATGTTCTGATCTATTGATGTATCTTGCCTGGATTAATTTAAGCAAATTATGCACAGTCAGTTTTCAGTTAATGATGCAAAGCTGCCTTAATTATTATTTCTGAATATAGCCAGCATGCTTGCACAGAAGATCACATCTTCATGCACAGAAAATCTGTTGCTCTTGAGGATAATCTTAAAATGCCATTTGTCCTGATTAATGCAAAATTAATTAAATTGCACAGAAAATTAAAGAGATCTGTTTGTCAAAATTACTGGGTTATTATTCACTGTCTGTGCTCCATCTTAGTGGCATCAAATTATTATCTATATTAGTGTACTATGGAAGAGGGTAATTAACTAAATCCATTACTCTCCGACAGATTAATTTTTTCCCTCAAAGTTTAGCTTATGTGATGGCAAACACTGAAACAACATCATTATTGTTCATTTCTAATTTGTCATTGATAAGGTTCCAAAAGGGGGTTTTCACAGCGATACCAAGAATCAGTTTTGGTTCCCCAAATAACCTTTCCAGTGAGCAGTTCTTATTAAAATAAAAAATTTTTTTTATTAGATTTTAGAATATTTTAAAGAACATTTTGAACCACAACCCAGCTAACAAAATATATATTTTTTTAAAAAAAATGTTCTAAGAAAGTTTTGCTGAGGTTCCCATTACGTTATGAAAACATTCTGAATGTTCTCTGAACGTTTTCTAAATGTTTGATAAAGAATTATACAAATGTTAAGGAAACATTACATTTTATCATTCTGAATTTGACGAGTGATTAAAAGATGGCTAATTCGTAACAATTCTTACGACCTCACTCGTACGAATTAGTACGATTTTTGCTAAAACGTACATATTTGACGAGTTGCCCAATTCGTATGAATTCCATGAATTCGTACGAATGACCTACCCCTGACCCCGCCCCTAAACCTACCCATCACGTGGGTTTAGACAAATCGTACAAATTTGTACGAATGAGGTCGTACGAATTAGCCATCTTTTAATCACTCGTCAAATTCGGACGAATTGGTCGTGAGATAGCGTTGGACATTATGGGAATGTTACTTTTGAAAAACCATAACGTTTTTGTGCTAACGTTTTGAGAACATCAGATAACTTTGAACGAACGTTCCATTAATGTTACTGAAAAAAGGGCCAAAGTTCTGAGAATGTTCTCTAGCTGGGGAAAAACGCATGGTGAACTGTGATGACGCATGGATCTACAATATACCAGTAAAGAACCTTTATTTTTAAGAGTGTTGAACTGTTCTGCCCACCAAATATAGGAGGTATATAGCTACATTTCTTGTATCTTAAGACTGTAAATGTGGTGCAGTGATCAAAATGTACAGTATAACAGTAGGAATATTTATGTGATCTTTCTGGTGGGGAGGAGCTGGTGGAATAACAGACAACCACACGTCAGGGCTAAAGCCCTCAGCGGTGCCATTAATCCTGGCTTGAGCCTCACATTCTGGGTTTGCAATTTTCCACTCATATTGACTGTTTTCAGAACAAATCTGGTATTCGTTTATTTAACAGAAAATAATTACAAAAGAAATAGACAAAATAGCCAAGATATAGCCTATAATTCACAGTAACACTTTATAATAGTTAATAACTGTTACTAACTGTAACAGTTAACAATAACTGTCACCTTTTTCATATTTCCATGATTGTTTCAAGTCTGTATTACATTGATTCTCAGTTAAATACTCTCACACACAGTCGTTGCAGACACGCTTTTACTTCTGGTCAGTCTGAACACAGTGTAGCTCCTTGTTTCTGAAGAAAATCTCGCAGACGAGCCAGAGTTGCGCTGCTGGATTTTAGAGGCAGAATTTCTTATCGAAGACCTATTGGTCAAACTCATGACAGATGAAATCTTCTCTCTGTAGCTCTCTCTGAACCTTTTGGCCGATCTGTACAAGTTTCCGATGAAGCAGTAGCAAAGAGGATTGAGGGATGAGTTGGTGAGACCCAGCCATTGCGCAAAGGGTCTGCTCTGGAGAATCCAATGATGTTCGACGTTGCTCAGCTCGTCGTTTCGATCAGGGGAGCTGGGAATGTTGGAGTCGATCCAGATGTCCACGGCATAAAGCGGCAGCCAGGAGAAAGTGAACAGCAACACGAGCGCAAAGACCATTTTGGCGATCCTCTTGCGCGTCTTCAGGCGCGATCTTGAAGAGGTTTGCGCTAGCTGGTTTGGATCTGATATTGATGATGTGCCTCCTCTACTCAATTTCCAACCGGTCAAAAAGCAAATGACCAGGTTAAAGACCACCGGGAATCCATACAACGCGCAGAAGAGCAAAAAGTTGTAACCCTGGCGCAGTTTGATTTTAGACCAGCTCTCCACGCACACAGTCACTGTATGCAGCCCGTCTAGTAGGGAAAGCGTCTTAGTCGTGTTCATGAAAAACAACGGCAAACATAGTGCAGAAGATACGATCCACACCACAGCTATCATGCATATCATTCTGCTGGTCGTGAAGAAAGATCTGGCGTGCAGGGGACTGTGGACGCTGTAGTATCTGTTCAAACTGATCGCGGCCAGACTCAGAACACTGGCCGAGACTGATACCGCTTGAACGAACGGCACAGCTCGACACAGAAACTCTCCAAACACCCAGGCGTTGTACACCTGAAGTCCTAAATTAACCGGCATGCAGACGCACACCACCATCATGTCGCACACCGCCAGGTTGACCAGGAGTCTCCTGGTGGCTGACGCTCCAGACAAGCGATTCCTCCGGCGCGTCAGGACCCACAGAGCCATTATATTCCCCACCAGTCCGGTCACGAATGATAGCACATACATCACCATTAAAACTATAGTGTCCGGTTCATGGCCCGCAAACAGAAAGTCGATGGAGAAAGGCGTCAAATCATGGGTGGTCCAGTTCTTCTGGAGATGCCCCCAAAGAGAAAAGTTGTTAGGGAACAAGCGTCCGAGTGTGCTGTAAATGCTCGAGGAGTTCATGTTTCCTCTGTGTGCCATTTCATCTGACCATCCGCTTATTGAGGATCTCCATAACGCCCCCACCCCTCAGGAACATGATAAAAGAGCAATGATTCACCAAAGGATAGAAAAATCTATCACTTATGCATACATTAAAAAATCAGATGCTGTTGTCTAGATGTAATATGAAGATTCGTATAATTTACATATATTAATATTAGAGAAGTGCAGCTTAATATGTCTTTGGGTCTGTCATCTATCCATCTATCTATATATCTATATCTCTTATGCATATACATAAAAAACACATGCTGTTTTCTAGATGTAATATGTAGATTAATATTTTTAAGGAAAAATTACATAAATATTAGAGAAGTGCAGCTTAACTGTACATATGTCTTTGGGTCTGTCATCTATCCAACCATCTATCTATCTATCTATCTATCTATCTATCTATCTATCTATCTATCTATCTATCTATCTATCTATCTATCTATCTATCTATCTATCTATCTATCTATCTATCTATCTATCTATCTATCTATCTATCTCTTATGCATACATAAAAACCACATGCTGTTGTCTAGATGTAATATGTAGATTCATATTTTTAAGGAAAAATTACATATATAAATATTAGAGAAGTCCAGCTTAACTATACATATGTCTTTGTGTCTGTCATCTATCCATCCATCCATCCATCCATCCATCCATCCATCTATCTATCTATCTATCTATCTATCTATCTATCTATCTATCTATCTATCTATCTATCTATCTATCTATCTATCTATCTATCTATCTATCTATCTATCTATCTATCTATCTATCTATCTATCTATCTATCTATCTATCATCTATCTATCTACTGATATAGGCTATACCTTATGCATACCTTAAAAAGTCACATGCTATTGTCTAGATGTGATATGTAGATTCATATTTTAAAGTATAAATTGCATATTAATTTTAGAGAACGTTATAACTTAACTGGGTCTGTCAGCAGTGTCACGTCTGAGGTCTGACTATCTAAATACAATGAGAAATGAAATAAAATGTTTTTTATAATTCTAAATATGCCCAAAATATTATTTGTGGATAAGAGTTATTATATAAGAAGTATAAGTATTGTATATAAAAACAATAAATGTAAATGAAAAGCCCTTATTTACCTAATAAATAATAAATTAAACGTTTTTAGTGTGTGATGCTGTTTCACGCCTTTAAAGGCAAATAGCCACCATACAGGAAGAATAATGGGAACACACACAAAAATCTCTCTCGCTTTCTTTTTCTCACATCTGACAGTTACCAACCAAATGTAGAGATGTATAAACAAGATCATGAAGATGTATTTTCAGTCATGAACACATATTCCAGACATCATGTACCAATCCTGACTAAAATATTTTCAGATTCGCACACTGAACGCAGTTCTATTTATATTTACTTAATGCTTTGTCAGTTAACAGACAATATCTAAATTACAGAATTGGTATATTATATATCATCGAATCAGTTCAATCAAATGCTTGTCACTTTTTACAGTGATTTTGCAGGTACGATAGTTGCAGCACATTTATAATGTTAAAACATTATAAAATGATTAGTTCCGTCTATAATATCTGATTTCATTAGTCATGTTGGAAGCTGTTGCTATAAACAGCCACATGTAGAGGCTAATGAGCTATTTCACTTGGCAGAAGAATCGTTCATATGAATTAATGTAATTATCTTTTCAACATTTGTGTCTTATCTTATTGCTGTTGCCACCATTTATAAAAGCAATAAGCCACTCAAGGCCACCTTACAATGTTTTCTTAAAGAAATTTGTTTCTATTGTGTTTTTATGCCTATTATTACATTTTATATGACACTTTGAATGGATGATACAATGAATGAACATTTGCCTTTGCTATGTTAATATTTATGAACAAAAAGCCTTATATCTTCACACACCTCAAAACTAACACATTGTGTTCCAATCTACCAAGCAGCAGTGATGAACAGACTTACATAACAGGCCTGCTGTCAAAGTGTTTTTATTCACTTATTCACATCACTGACATGTCAGCTTCAGCCTACAACATGACTAATTTGAGAACTAATAATGATTTGTTCATTATATCAGACATTAAAAGACCATTTCTTGAGTAAGGTAGGAAGGCACATGATGCGATTTGAGCGTCACTGTCTTGCAAACAGATTCATCTCCATCACATCTGATGGAACAAATTGATTTCGCCCACATATTTATTACTTTCCCTCCATCATAGCAATGCCCGATCTAAATGCACTGCAGTGGTCTAGTTTATCCTCCACTCAATAAGCTCATTGCATTTGATGGTGACAGTGATGATCGTTTGCTATCAAGTGTCATCCTTCACAAATAGTGTTTTTATCACTCCTTTCCACTGCCTAAATGACATGTTAAATGTAAATGATTATGCAAATTTCAAGAATTTGCATAATAATTTTCCTGTCATTTATCCATTTTTGTTATTAAAAGCAGCATTCACTACATGGAACATGAGGGAATAACATCAAATCTTATGACATTTTGTAAAGAAGCAGGTCTAGGCTCAAGAATTGAACGTATAACTTAATACAGTTTTTCTCAATCACTTTGGCATTGAGATATCAGACTCAAGAGAGAGAGAGAGGATGATTAACACCTCAAAGCTTTTATTGAACAGTGTCCAAAACAGGGTATAGACAACAAACAATGTGCAGTGCAAGTATTCCAGTCTTTGTTTGCAGGAGCTGAGAAAGGATTTTACTTCAATTGGTCAGTATGTAAACCCATAGCGTTAAAAATAATTAATTGGTTTGAGTAAAGCCAACTCAAATTAAACAAATTAGTTCAATCAAATGAACTTTTTTGAGTATTTAGAACTTTCTTTTTCTTTTGCATTCACAAAAGTGTCACATTTTAAGTGATCGGAATTGTTTTGAGCTTCATGAACTTGTTTCTTTTAATTTAGACAAACTGAAATTTAACTGAAACTGGGCTGGGATTTCTATTTCCCAGCATGCTTTGCCATGACACTCAAAAGGGAGAGTAAATGCTAAAATGAAGTTATATAATGTATTTGGTGCAAGATTAGGGAGATTTAGTAGTGTTTAATGTTTTGCTATGTTAGTTTAGAAGAGTTTCTGTTATGCTGTTTTTTTTGTATGATTAAAATCATGGTGACGAGTGGAGCATGAGCTCAGTTTGAGAACAGATATATGTTAAAAGCATTGTGATACCAATTAGCAAGATAGCATTTATTGAATTAGCTAGTTAAAGCTAGCCAAGTGTCTACTACTAAAAATATTTAAATTGAGATTACATGATAATTTTAAGTTAAATGTATGAATTAGTTTACTCAAATATTTCAAGTTAAGATCAATTAAAATATATGAGTGCAAAATAAAAATCTGCAAGTTATGCTTACTTAAACTTTAAATTTCTTAACTTACGGTAAACGGATTACCCAATTTTTTTTTTCAGTTTTGCCAACTTATTCGGGTTTACAGTGTATCCAAATACACACATCTTTTGGTTGCCATTAGATTGATAATGTCTTTGTCTTACAGGATAGCGGGAACCCTGGAGGGACGCTGAAGATGGAGAACAGACAAGGAAACAAGTAATACAGGAACTTGGAGAAATCACAGAAGGTAAACATCTCGGGTGAGTACTGAGTAGACAGGTATCCATAGTCCAAGCCACAGACCAGACCAATGACTGAGGTCTGTGTTTACTGTGATGCAGGTATGCAAATCTGTCCCTCAACAAATAAGAAAAATTTGTCATGCATCTTTATGCTACACAATGTCAAGAACCTAATCATATGTCAAGCCATGTAGGAGTATCATTCATTTAATCGAGCACTCTAGAGCAGCACAATCGTCAGCAGTCAAAAGGGTCATGTGATATTAAAATGCATCAATTGTTTAATAAGTCTTGAGTGCTCAGGTTTCATCTCTGCAGATGGTCTCATTTCCCAGGCTAGTGACCTCGAACTATAAACTAACAACCGCACTTCAGTTCTTTCACCATCCACTGACAGTTTCGAGATTATTTGTGGCTTAATGGCATCATCTCTATTTTTTATTCACCGCCTGCTTCTTTCACACATTATTCTTCAAAGGATCCATTTGCAAACGCCATAAGACATTTGGATTAGATTGGTGAGATGGCACTTTTTTTCACAAGGTAATGCCTTTAGTGGTGAGTCAATGATTGTGTTTATCATCCTGGCAAGCTGTGCTCCGTACTGGGCTAGACATTATAGAGAATCATTGACATGAGTAATCTTCTGGCCTGAATTATCTGCATTCTTTAGTTTAGATTAACACCAGAGTGCAAAATGAGAACAAATGAATGAATTAAATAAAATAAACAATTATTTTACGTAATTAATATGTCATTCCAAAAGTTATACTGACCATTACAGCATTTATTTGTTCTTTTTTATGTCTATTCTGACAGAAGAATTCTCTTACAAATCAGAAAGATCAAAATCTATTTTTTACCCACGAATACAGTTTTTCACAGTCGCTTTGGTACATTTCTCAAATCATCCTTAACATTTGTAAGTAAGTTCATTTCTCAAAACAATTCGTTCAAATAGCACCACACAATGGATTAAAAGCCTGTAACTTGCTCAAAATCCTTAGTTCATCTCTCAAAAGTAAGTATGTACATCAATGAACATATCAGTGCCATCAAAATTATTAGTCCTTGTGTCATTGTTGACTAAAATAGTCTTAGTGTTGTCAGATGTAAACTATGACTATTGATTGAATGACAATGATTGAAAAGCAGAAGACTGCACCTTTTCTGTATATGGCATATATACATTTTAACAGTACAAATTTACATATTACTGTATATGGGATTCTTATTTACCCTCTTTTTGACTTAGGAACATGTTCTATACCGACTATTTTCAATGTACTTGGACTACCATGATTTTTGGGCCATGGTCTCTTACTGTAATTATTATTTCCATTACACGAGAGTATGTTAAAACTTCATGCTGATTTGCACTCGGCTTTCGCCAAGATAAGGACCAACTAAGACGTAGCTTTACAGTAACTATGCGTCTCC